TAGTGTACACTATATCGAGGTGCATGAATGCTAGAAACCTTTCTTGAGATATTTAAATAATAAAACAATAGCAATTAAGTTGAAAATAGATGTGCATGAGAGCACAACATCATCTATTTTTCTCCGGTGTTGCATTTTTATTTTTATTGATACTCACCATCAAACACTCATATATACTCTCTAACCAATTAGTGACTGCAGTAAGTTACAAAATAGTGCACTCTATAACTAATTGTTGCATTATTCAGACAATACATAATTAGACATGACATAAGTATACAACTTACATGAAGCAATGTTGATAGTAAAGAAATCTACCAAAATACAGGCTATTTATAAAAATGGTCCATATACGAAACTGAGAAGTAATACCTTTGTCACATAATGGACATCAACCTATTTCAGAGAGAGGTCACATAGTGGACCGGATTTGCTTAAAAAATATTAAACAAGCGTATTGATTTCTTTATATCACTATATCCACCCTCACTGGTAAAAAAATTTGACGTTAACTACTCTTGCCTTCTCAAATAAGAATCATTGTAAAACAGAGTATCCTGCAGACTAGGAACAAAGATAGTGAAACTGGTCCACTCATACAATAAGATGTTAGCATTATGTTGAATTAGTTATAAATGATTAATTACTTAAGTTAAATGATCACATCATCGCAAGGTGCAAATATTTTACCGCACTTTAGATATTTTCAGGTGGTGACCACGTTCGGTTCTAGACTCCGGGATCCCCTAATTGAGCTACTTCCCGACCATATACTCTTGTTGCTGGCTCAGTTCTGGTTGTTGTCTTGATTCCAAGAATCCGGGATTTAGGAAATTGGGATCAGACTGGTCTGATTTCTTGTAATGTTAGATTGATACATAGATGAGCACAACATAGCAGATGCTAAACCTAAAAATGAAAAAAAATAGTTTTATTCAATAATAATTAATCAACGAAGAGTTTAAGACTTAAACATGCATTGATGCCTATACTTTTGTTTAGCTTCGACTATATCTTTTCATCAATGAGGTGCCTTTTCATGGTGAAACTGGTTTAGTTATATCTCAAAAGGAAAATCGCATTAAGAACACTAACAACAAATGATTATCCGATGATATTTCAAGCACCATAAAGAAGGAGAAAACCTGGGCAGCGTGCCCCCGAATAGCCTAGATAGTGTAGGTGCACTTTGTTTCTCTAATTTAGGTACTCCATCTGATCCATATTACTTGTTGCTGGTATGGATCGGAGGGAGAATAATAATGTTTTTATCCACTATCTATATCATATCACAAAACTCCATTTGATATCAAAAGCTTTATAAAGATGGTTTGAATTTTCCCATCTTGCAACATATATATGTTCTTACTAGTTTGTTGAATCCTGGAGTTCCATCTCAAGGCATGATAGAAAAAAAATGGTAATGATTTTTACAGTTCAATTTTCATTGTCACCCACTCATAAAAAGGAGCAAGGTTTCATATTATCAGTCATGATCTCCCAAAACTTTCCTCTCCCCTAAAATCATAGCATCTGCTACCGATATTTCATTACCTCCGTTCCCATCACAATGTCCGTACTCCCATCCTACCACCAGGCGGTAGCAACAGCTCCGCCATCACCTGAAGCACAACGGATCACAGCCTCCCCTCAGGCGGTTTCAACTACCCAACAAAATGGGATAATTTTCAACACTAACTTTCACCTTCCCCACTCACTACCTCTTCATCTATGGTGGAGCCAGTGCCCCCTTCCAACTACCCACCACAACAACGAGGATGAGACCGACCATGAAGCTACACCCAACCCGAGGTGTCGTTTTCCCATAGCCGCGCAGGAGGAGGGCTCTACGGCGCATAAGGAGGAGAAGGCCGCCCAATATAAAGTTTCCATGGTCTACCTTCCCCACATTGTTTGTATTTTGAAGGCTAAGTGTCTCGTGTATATGTAGGCTATTGATGGCTACAAATTAGTGCATTCTTTTTTTGTGAGGGTATGAATTAGTGCATCCAGAAATGAAAAAAGTAATGCATTGCTTTATTGCTGAATAAAGTACATGTACTAAATTGAAGTAACATATATGTTTACTCGAGCCATATGTCTCCTGATGTAAGCTAGCCCAAATTCTGCTCGTATGTCAACCAAGCTGGAAAAATTGCTCGTGCTTAATTTATTTCTTGAGTGATCCTGAGTCGAAATGAAATACGAGTCAAGCTCAAGTGGTTGACGTGTATAGGGGTTTCTTCTTTTCATCCAATGAAATCATGCATCCATTTCATTAGGAGACCATTTTTTTCTCAGTCCCAATCGAGCCTTTTCCTTTCCTTCCAAGTTAAGCACACATTAACAAGCAATTTCTAAGTAGAGGACCGATCACCAAACCCCTCGGGTTAAGAATCACGAAACCAGCCGGCATATCCATGCACGACTTTAACAGAAATATCTTGACGATACTTTTTTCTAGACCAGAATCTTGTCGATACTTTAACATGTTTTTTTTTCGAAAAGGAGGAATACCCCCGGCCTCTGCATCTGGATGATGCATACGGCCAACTTTATTGATTATAACACAAGATCTTACAAAGTCGTACAACAGTAAGACCAAAGCCACCATCTTCGCAACCTCTGTCGCTACTCCTATCTAACTGATGAAGGGGCGCTGATGGTCTGGGCCTAATACCAAACAGACCTCGCAGCCAAACCTAACATCTGAGACCTGAGGTCCCAACCAGGACTCCTTCCGGGTATGGGCACCCACCAGTCCGGCGTGCTCTTCAACCAGGCCCCCTGCCGGGTATGAGGCCGCCGCAGCCACGTACCATCAATCCATCTTCAGAGTTGTACTGTTGCATGAACCATGCCAGGCCTCTCCGCCATCGACGCCACCACGACGCCAGACAGCGCCACCATTATGCGCTCGTCCATCATCACACGCCCACCGGCGATACTCCTACTGCTCCATGCCGCCGAGACTCGCCGTTGTCGACGTACCAGATGCCACGCCGCTCCTCCGACGCGAACACCAAAAACAGGAAACGCCCTAAAGATACAAGGGGCACTCTGCACAACATGAAAGCTGCAGCGAGCAGCTGCAGAAATCCAGCCGGCAGCCAAAGCCCCCACCTTCATGAGCCCACACCCGAATCCTAGCTCCCCAGGCAACGCCTCCAAGGAGGGGATGACGCCCATGGCGCCACCGCTGCCCAATCTAGACCGGATTTTGGGTTTTCACCCGGGAGAGGACCGGAGGTGACAAGAATAAGGACCACGACACCGCCTTCAGGAAGGATGCGTCGCCCGAAGCCGACGCCGCTGTCGAGCCGAACCAGCCGGCCTAGGGTTTCCCCCGGTCCCAATCTGCACCACCATCCCCAGAAGCACCGGAACCAGCAGCATCCACCGGCCACAAGCGCAAAGGGGAAGGAGCGGGAAGGAGGGAGTAGCAGGCCTCCAAATCTGGCGAGGACGAAGGCCCCCAAACTGCCGCCGCCAAGCGCCCACTCCCCACCACCCGAGCGGTCGAGGACGCCGGGCAGAGTCCCCGCGCACACCGTCCAGAGCGCGAACGGCGGCGCCGAACCAGCGGGGGCCGCCGCCCCGTGGATCCAGATCTCCGCGAAGGGACGATGAAGGCCTCGCCGCCACCTTCCTCGGCAGCCGCGCGACGCATCGGCGGCTCCTCTAGTGGCGACGAGGAGGAGAGGAAGGGGGAGGGGGGCCGCCGGCGGCGGCTAGGGTTAGCCGCCCGTGTC